GGGAAAGGGAGAGTCAGAAGGGGAAAGTGGTGGGGCCTAGCCCCAATCTAGCTATGAGGGAAGGGGTGTTGTCCAACTGCAACCAGCAGTGCAGGTTTTGGGGTTTGGGAATCTGGTGGGGAGAGGATGACAGTATTGATGGCCACTGCTTCCCCACTGCCAAAGTTTTCTGCCCCATGGGGAGCCCTGCAGGCCAAATGTGATGGCTCTGCAGGCCACTTGGCCCATGGTCAGAGGTTGAGCACCTCTGTCGTAAACCAAGAAAAGAATATTTAAAAACCTCTCTCCAGGTCAGCAGAACTTTCAGTTACATTTAAGAGAACAATAAAAAACAAATTTTAGGGAAACAAGTTAACAGATGCTAAGGAAACAAAACAGCTCATTTTGAGCATCAGAAATGCAGCACCAGTATACTCCTATCTCTGCCAATTTAGTCTAGAAAATATTCTCCGGGTACTGACATACCTGTTCACTTTTCTAATTCCAACTAGATCCAGGATTCAATGCAAATTCATACTATTTTGAGTATAAACGCTATACCTTCACAAAGCGTGGGAAATGAACCTTCCTCCACCCAGAGCACCAGGGATTCTTTTTGAATTATCACATCAAGCACCCTATGTTACAGCTTTCTTCGCCTTGCCAAGGACTGGCTAGAGCTTAATTTATCTATCACGTTGCTGTTTCATTATGGGCCAGTAAATTTAAGTGCGATACCAATCCGTAGGGGTGACGTCACTGTGATCTATTTGTAGGCACCAGAGAGACCCAATTAGGACTCCACTGGGCTGGGCTCTGTACAAACAACAAAAATACAAGTCCTGCTCCAAAGAAAGCCTACAGTCTCAAAAGGGATACAGACAGAAGGGGCAGCACAAGAACCCAACAAGACAATATTGGTCAGTATGACATGCGGTAGCTATGCTACATCTGTAGTTCTACAGTGGTAAAATGTTTTGTAACTGTTCAATCTTGCAAGACAGTAGAGAGTCTTGTAGAACTGAGTACAGCTGTTAATTTTCAAGCTGGTTTAAAGATTAGAGACAGGACTGATTGGAGACAGGAATCAATATTTCAGTACCAGATAACAGAGGGTAGATAGGGTAGGGAACCTCAGATCTACCAGTGGGCCTTTACTGCCCCAATTCCAAAAGATACCTTAACTTAAAAGGAAGCCAGAGACCAGGATTACATCGCTGACATCAATTAAGATGGTAAAGGTCCTGAAGAGCTAGACTATGAGGCTTGCATTTCAACTGTCACCCTCTCTGTATTTTGTCCTTTCCCTGACCCACCTTCCTTCTTTCCTCTCTTTTGCTTTCTGTTTAATGTCTGGCTTAGCCAGCCAAGACTGCTGTCAGCCAGTGACCAAAGACATTGCTTGCAGTCGTTTTGAACCAGCATTTGGTGGGTGTAGTGTTTGCCTGGTCTCAGAATGGCTAACAGAACTGTTCCAATGCCTGCCTTTCTCTAGTAATAAGACTACAAGCAAGTCAGTAACAAAAAAAGAAGCAATATTTTTAAACCTTTACTGTTAAACTCTGCACTCAGTTTTTTGAGCGTCCAGTTAAGAAGCAATATTGGACTACAAGAAAGTTATTATCACTATTCCGGCCCATCTCAACTTTTTCTCCAAAAAGGAAAGTGTCAACAACCATCTGAAACAACATTTGAAAGAATGTCAAACATGATTTTTCCCCCTTAAAAAACACTCTTCAACTAAAGAGAAAGTGAAAAAAATAGAATGATAAAGGCCTGTCTTAACATTTTAACTGTTTCCTCTCCTCTCCCCTCCTCCCATTTTTAAATGCTAAGTGTTTACCACAGGATTAAATGGGCTGAAATCTGTACTCAAAACCCAGAAAGTTAACATTGCACGGCAACAGTCATGTTAATATAGCCAATTTTTGGCCTTTCTATTCCCTCAATATTAAAACACAAAAAGTTTGGGTAGTGTGGAAAGATTAAGAGCCCTATTTCAGCCATCCTAAGACTGAGGTAACAATGGCTAGTTATCAATGATGAGATTTTAGAGAGGTCAAAATGTTAATCTGGATAGAAGGAAAGATATGTGGAACAGACGAGCAGATCTGTAAGTCATGAACATAGAAATAGCAGACAAATGTGTTTACTGGCCCCACTACGAGGAAGTACTATATGCATGTGAGTGGGGGTCTTTTGGTTTTTTAGTAAGAGTTGTAACTTTTAAAATCGCAAAAAGTGTGCTCTGAGCAAGTGAAGGAAGTCTTCAGGGAAAGAAACTACATGAGAAGCACAGCAAAAATCACAGCAAGAGGAAGTAAGAGGAACAGAACTTGCAAGGTTATCATCATTCTGACCAGCACATTTGAGCAGTTATATTCTAGTACCATAGGGATATTACAATTTCAACTGAGCTGCAAGTGTCTTTTCACTACAAAACTGATTAAACATCACTCACCTTTCGAACAATACTGTCTTCTACATTGGATTTCTTGTTGCTGCCCTGCTTACCCATTAAAGTAATTTCTAACTGACAAAATGGTTTAGGCAAGATATCACATTGTGTAAAGAATTTGCGCCACTCTACTATGTATGCTTTTAGTAAAGCTGTATCATCTTGATGACTCAGCACTCTCTGAAAGAGAAAACAGAGTTCACTTGTAAAAACAGCCAAAAAAAAACAACAAAGCCCCCCCCCCCTCCCCCCCAACTTATGTAAAGATGCAATGTAAAGTTTTGTCTGTGAAGGAAAATATTCAACAGAACCTAAGCAGTAAATTTTAAAAGACATAACTAAAATGATAACATTCTTATTCTGACATATGCATGCAGACTTCTTTGTTTAAAGTTTTAGTCATGTATAAAATGGTTAAAACTAACCTGAGAAAACCCATAGTTCTACTAAACTAAGAATGTCCACAGATGGGGGCTATATCTATATGACTAGTCTATGTTGGAATGTTTTCAAGGGCTGTTACTGCTTCCCACATAGCAAAAAATTGAATCAAATGCTATTTACTTGACTAAATTTACACAGCTACCTTATTTAACATTTATGACAGTCCAATCATAAATGCTACAAGGTAGAGAATCACTGCGATAGGCAATATTCAAAAACCACTAACCAGCGCAGAACACGAGGTCTGAGAACAAGAAAGCACTAAACACAAGGCAGTCAAGTCAAACACGTCTGAGTTCAAGTGCTTTGGTTTTATCGAGGGCTAGATAAGAAAGGGGTCTGGGTTCAAGAAAAAAGACCCTTAATAGCATGAATGATTTTAAGAGGAATACATTTTAAATTTTTTAAACTTTTGTTTTTGAAGATCTTTCACCCTTTAAAAAAAAAAGCTCTCCCCTGAGCACACTATTCTGAACATCTCTTATACATATTAAGTGCACAAAATCAGGTTTCAAGTTAACAATAGACTAAAACAGATGAACTACCAAAACAGGCAACAGCCTATTGAATTTGCCAAGCTGGTAGTTTAAGCAGCATGGTAAGGCAGCAGAATACACTTGACTTGTTCTCAAACAAAATTATAAACATGCAATTGTAGTATCGAAGGTAGGTAAAAAGAGTTAAAGAATAAAGATTAACTCTTGAAAATGTCCATTTTCAGATGATATATTCTTCTAAACAGAGTTTCTGGTTTCAAAAAACTGGCAGCTAAATGCAATATGTTTCTAATCTTTTAAAAAAAAATTACATCATCTTAATTTCACCTCCTTTACTGAGGGGCATGGAATAATTGCTAGCAGCATACCCTATAGCGATTTTTCTAGACAAAACAAAACCAGAAGTAGAAAGGGCTTTTTGTTGTACCTTTTTCATCTTTTTCTAATGAAAACAAAGAGACCCCTCTAATGCTTCATTTTGCCTGAAGTCAAGATTTACGAATAAGAACACCTACTGCTGGAAGTCAAAGGGACAAGTATGTGAAGTAATTTTTCCAAGGAGAATCCGTAAGTAATACCCAATACAATAAAAATAATGGCCAAAACTCCCACACAGCATAACAATCATTGTTGCTGCATTCTCAAGAACACTGAGGGAAGAACTTTGACTTTTGGGCGAAAGTAACGCTCAGGGTAAGTGATTAGGTTAATAATAGGTTCTTCAGTTTATGACCTTCAAAATACACCAATATCTAAGAGGCAATTAGATTATTTAAAAAGTTCCTGAAACAAGAGGAATTTGGCATCCCAACTAGTTGGGTTCTAGTTTTGTTTTTTATATAATAGATACAGATATATAAAAATGATAGACAGTTGAGAACTTACTGCCTGTGCCTGTTTAATGAAGTCAAGGATGTCTTCTTTCAAAGCCTGATGGATTTTTGCTGGACCCTTATCATCCCACAAGCAAACTGCATGCACATCCCTAGAAAATAATTTATCTATCTTTCAGTACAAGGTACACTTACCATTTAAAGTAGAAATTTACAAAGTCTAAATTACTACAACTAACACAATTCTAAGGAAAAGGTGTGCACTCTCAGAGCATATCTATGAATAAGAGCACAAACTTTTTTCCAAGTCACAACATAAACTATTTAACATTCAATTCAACACTGAGGTTTGAAAAGGAAAGCACTATTAAAATTAGTGTGTACAATAACTCCACCTTCTACTTGAATGTCCCACAGTGGTTTTTTGTTTTGTTTTGTTTTTGAGAAATATTAGTGACACCATGACTAGAAGGAGAAAAGGAAACAACTCATTTTACTTCTAGGAAATTAGAAATCCCTGAAAGTCTAAATGACTTGACCAAGGTCACACAGGAAGTCTGTGGTAGACCAAGGAAAGGAACATAAACCTCTTGACTTGTGTTTGTCCTTAAACAAAAGTCTTTCTGCCATTCCCAAGAATTAAGGTCCCCAGAGCTACTTAAAACATCAAAATACCATGCTGTTTAGTATGCACATGAGAACCACAAACCTGAAGAACTGCTGTGTGAGCATGTAAAATAGTTCTGATCCTGAAATTGGATCCCTATTGGATTCCCTATTATATGGAAAACAACTAGCCACTGACTTTAATAGGGTTCTAGGCAAGTATCAGATTGCAAGAATGGGACCCAAGCATGCACTTATGAACTCAGTCTCCCATCAGGCACACTCCAATACTTCTGGAAGCAGTCCTAACTTACAAAGCTGAAACAAAACATTTTAAAAGGCCATACATCTCAAGGAAATCAAAGTCAATACTATGCAGGTCCTTTCCATAATTTTTGACAGCTACAGATAAAACTGAAAAACTTCTGGAGGAGGACATTAATAGGAGTAGCAGGCAAGCAACAGAAAAAACATCAGCAGTCTAAGTGTGATGGAGTTCCACCTTTTCCTTTTAAAGGAATCTAGAGGGGATGCAAGAAGTCATTAAGTCAACAGTTTTCAAAATAACTACCAAATCACTGCTGATCAATCCTGACACTGGGACCTGATTTTCAGTGCTTCAACACAACCAGGTTCTTTAACATAAAGTGCCCAGACACCTGTAGAATCAAATGGGAATAGGAAAAGCAAGCTTCTACCAGATTCCACTCATGCTTAAGAGGAGAATGCACTTTGGAATTACAGATGCCAATCACTATCTGAACTGCCCTTAATTAGAAGGAAAAAAATAATAACAAACAAAACTTCAAGGGCTTTCAGGGGGGAAAAAGGGAGAAAATAAACCAGGATCCAAAGAATAGGGAAAACCAACAGCAAAGCAGCATTCCACATGATGCATGGAGGTTAGTTAACATATACAAAGAGCTTGAAGATCATATAACAAGAAAATATACAATCAGAGAAAAGGACCAGGCAGTAAGAAGTGAAACAAGGACAGCAAGATACAGGGAGGAAAGTGAAGGGAAGAAGCTAAACAAACTAAAACCAGTTCTTCTTCTCAAAGCAATACTTATAGAAAATGAAAGACTTCAATACTTTTCTAATTTTACTTTTACTGTGAGGCAATTACCATCATTAACAGATATATGTTGCTCACCATAGATTACACACAACCTTTCATGCAACTCTCAGATGCACTTTCACTTTGAAAAAAATTCAGAGTCCACCACTACAGCTTGCATTTTACGAGCTGTGCAAAGGAAATTGACCTCATAAGAAACATGAGCTCAGAGGTATCAGGTACCTCAAAACAAAAAAACCCCAAACCAACCTTTCATCAGTTTAATCAAGGCAACATTAATGTTCCATGGCATTAGTAGCTTTTTAAAGTACATTTCTAGTCTGAAAGAGAAACCAATATCGGCATCACTGTGTGTCTGCACCTAGATCAGATTTGATCCTCAAGGAAAGACATCTATTTGCTAACTGACAGTCCAGACATTCATCAACCACACGCAGGATTCTATAGCCCCAACTATGCCCTCAGTTATATCACCAAGGTTCATGTAAAACAATGTGCAACAAGAATCCATTTTGATTCACTGTCATCTTTTAGACTACCAAGAGCATGTCTGCCAAAGTTGTAACTATAACTTAAAAGCATTAATTTATATTAATGCAATAGAAACTCTGGTGCAGACACTTGTTTCAGTGTAAGAATGGCACTTTTTTTTTAACTAAGTGAAAAAAAACCCTTATGAAATCAGAATGTGCAAAAGACTTTACACAGGGTACAGTATTGGTTTGAAAATTAATTAGACCAGGAGGTGGATGGAAGGGAAGGGGCCTACATTGTATTGCCACAAGGATCAGGCCCCTTGCAACTCCCCCTTATCCATTCCTGGCACGCTGAAATTCCAGGTCAAGATTGAGGGTGTTTTTGGCCCTCTGCTCAAAAACACTGCCGATCCCCAAATCCCAGGCCTCAAAGATTTTCCCAACCAAACTGAGAAAGGGACGTCAAATAAGGCTTATGTTCCATTACAGAATTTGCTTCAAAATATGTAAATTGGAAATAACTTTTTTTAAGCTCAATCAATGGCTTTGAATCAGGACTGGGGATCAGTTAAGATCAAGATAAAAGAAACTCATTTTATGTAATCTTGAGTTACATAATTGCTGAAGTTGTCCTATACAGTTCACCTTTTAGCAGAAACTAAAGATGGAAATTTTCAGCCCCAAAGGAAAATTGTTCAGATGGATATGAATGAATGAAAATAATGTTACAACTGAACAATTCTGAATCCTAAACCAAGTCATGTTTTTGGCAACCGCTGTGGACATATCACAAGACTGTAAAACTACCTGCGCATCCTTTGTTTTAACAGGCAGCAACATGCACAACTTAAACAGGAAACCCATGTTTGGTAACAAGGTAAGGGTGAAGTAGTAACAGCCTTAGCCAAAGGAAGGGAGCAAGATGTGCACTGCAAGAAGAGTAACTTATATAACAGAGATAGCAAGACTTTTGGTTGGAGTATCAAAAAACGGCAATGTAAGCTGCTGGAGTGCCAGGAAAAAAAAACAGGGCTGCAGGTACATAATCATAAGTGTTGCTTTATTTTTTGTTTTTTGCTTTCTTTCGTTTGTTTGTTTGTTTGTTTTTTACAGTAAATACCAGGATTTCTAAAAATTCTAGATCTGGTCATAATAAATAAAACTTCATATACTACCTTTGTTGTTGTGTATTTTTTGTTAAGCATGTTGTGATGAGAGAGAGAAAAAAAAGAAAGAGAAAGAAAAAAGAAAAAGAGGGAGAAAAGAGAAGAAAGAGAAAAAAAGGAGATGAAAGCAAGGAAAAGATAATGCACTTAGATACT